AAAAAAAAAAAAAGTCTTTAAGTAAACATACTTTTTGGGGCCATAGCATGATCATTTTTCACAAATATTGGCATATTTAGTCGTATTGATTTTATTTCATTTTACTATCCGTTAGTAACTGTTGTTTTAATCAATGTTATCGTCATAATTTATTCCTATTTATTATATTAATTTCAAATTTTACACTGCTTTTTAGTTTACAGTAGTGTTTTTATATTTATTTGTCATAATTTATTCCCGTTTATTACATTTGGTAATTATTACTAATTCGTGTACTGGTTTTACATTATTCTTTTGTTATATTTTATTTCATTTTATACTATTGTTTTGTTTTTTTCTCTATAGTTGTTTCACTTTTACTATACCTTTTAATAATACTTGCTTAATGTTATTCTTGTAATTCATCCCTATATATTAAATTGCTAGTTTCTAATTTCACACTGCCTATTATTACTAGCATTTATTTTTTATTATTAGAATTGTTTGATTTTAATTGACACAATTTGTTATACTACTTAGTTTTATACTAGTAGTTTATTTTCTCTGCATTTATTTAGTGTTTTCTTCATAAATTATTTCTGTTAAATTGCTAGTTGTCTATATTACTTTATTCCGACTTACATGTGTGTATATCTCTTCCCATGTTGCAGGTCCAGAGGAGTCCAGTGTTTCGTCGTGATGGCACTGATATCCACTCTGATGTGATGATTTCAGTAGCACAGGCGATACTAGGAGGAACAGCCAGAGCACAGGGCCTGTACAGCACCATCGACATTGCGGTTAGAAAATAAAAGGACTTTTATTGTGGCTTTAATTGTGCCTTGGCACAGTATAATATGACTAAAAGGAAATGTGTTTCTTGCAGATTCCTCCAGGCATTCAGACAGACCACAAGATCAGACTGGCAGGAAAAGGCATCCCACGCGTGAATAGCTTCGGTTATGGAGATCATTTTGTATATATCAAAATCAAAATTCCTAAGTAAGAGGCATTCACACACACACACACACACACA